CGTGGAGACGAACAAGTTGATGTAAGAAAAGAATGTAGGTTACTGTACATTGTATGGCGTATATACCCTAGCGTATCGTACGCTAGCGTAACATACGCGAGACGCGTATCTGCCAACGTAGGTAAGAATGTAGGTTACTGTACATTGTGTACATGACACACGAAGGCAAATGCAGAGCATACCCCTATTGCGCCTACACACCTGGCTCGGCATACCAGTGAGGGCAGACACCGGGCCCAACACACCTGGCCCGACCCGACACACCTCGTAGGCAACACACATCCCAACACTCCTAAGCCAACACCTGGCCCAACACACCTGGCCCAACACACCTGGCCCAACACACCTGGCCCAACACACCTGAGAGGGGTCGATTTCAAAGGCATGAAACTCCCCATCGTCCCCTCACCCACCCACGTCGCCCCCCTCGCCCTCCCCCGCCCCCATGAGCGCATGGGTGAGCGCTGCTGCTGACCCGTCCGCTGCTCCCCCCTGCTGCACTGCAAACGCGTCTCCTGCTGGCCCCTGCTGCAAAGAAACACGACCTCAGAGGGAGAGAGAAACACATGGGGCGCATTGAAACACATGGGGCGCATTGAAACACATGGGGCGCATTGAAACACGACCAGAGACATTTTCCTCTCCTCTCCCATGAGCGCATGTGTGAGTGCATGTGTGAGCGCATGTGTGAGCGCATGTGTGAGCGCATGTGTGAGCGCATGTGTGAGCGCATGTGTGAGCGCATGTGTGAGCGCATGTGTGAGCGCATGTGTGAGCGCATGTGTGAGCGCATGTGTGAGCGCATGTGTGAGCGCATGTGTGAGCGCATGTGTGAGCGCATGTGTGAGCGCATGTGTGAGCGCATGTGTGAGCGCATGTGTGAGCGCATGTGTGAGCGCATGTGTGAGCGCATGTGTGAGCGCATGTGTGAGCGCATGTGTGAGCGCATGTGTGAGCGTATGTGTGAGCGCCGCCGCTGCTGATGCTGCTGAGCTGACCCGTCCCCTGCTCCCTGCGCACTCGAAGGCACATGTCGCCACAGCAGTGAACGCACCATTGGTATGGAGGTGAAATGTTCGAACAGACTCTAAAAGCCACTCGCTCAGTCAGGTGAAGAGGCATACAGCAGACACGCACACACACACACTAGGGGGCAACTGGAAGCTAGTAAGGCTAGCAAGCAGCACACGTGGCAAGCAGCACACGTGGCAAGCATCACACGTGGCAAGCAGCACACGTGGCAAGCAGCACATGTGGCAAGCAGCACACGTGGCAAGCAGCACACGTGGCAAGCATCACACGTGGCAAGCAGCACACGTGGCAAGCAGCACACGTGGCAAGCAGCACATGTGGCAAGCAGCACACGTGGCAAGCAGCACACGTGGCAAGCACACGTGGCGTGGCAAGCAGCAGCACACATCACTAGCGCACGCGTCATGCAACCGAGCTTTAAGACGTCCCAAAACACACACCCAATGAAATGTAACCACACACACCCACCCACACACCCACACACACACATGCCTGAGCATTGACAGCTGGCAGGATTCTGGCTCGACGAACCACGTCATCCCTCAGCAGCTCCCGCAGGACCTGCAGGAAACAGGAGACGCGAGGAGGTGGAGATGAGATACAACACTGTTAGAGACAGAGCAGACGCGCAGATAGAGCAGACGAGGAGATAGAGCACACGAGGAGATAGAGCAGACGAGGAGATAGAGCAGACGAGGAGATAGAGCAGACGAGGAGATAGAGCAGACGAGGAGATAGAGCAGACGAGGAGATAGAGCAGACGAGGAGATAGAGCACATCAGTGTTCACTCGCGAATGAGCACATCAGATAGAGCAGACGAGGAGATAGAGCAGACGAGGAGATAGAGCAGACGAGGAGATAGAGCAGACGAGGAGATAGAGCAGACGAGGAGATAGAGCAGACGAGGAGATAGAGCAGACGAGGAGATAGAGCAGACGAGGAGATAGAGCACACGAGGAGATAGAGCAGACGAGGAGATAGAGCAGACGAGGAGATAGAGCAGACGAGGAGATAGAGCACACGAGGAGATAGAGCACACGAGGAGATAGAGCAGACGAGGAGATAGAGCAGACGAGGAGATAGAGCAGACGAGGAGATAGAGCAGACGAGGAGATAGAGCACATCAGTGTTCACTCGCGAATGAGCACATCAGATAGAGCAGACGAGGAGATAGAGCAGACGAGGAGATAGAGCAGACGAGGAGATAGAGCAGACGAGGAGATAGAGCAGACGAGGAGATAGAGCACACGAGGAGATAGAGCACACGAGGAGATAGAGCACATCAGTGTTCACTCGCGAATGAGCACATCAGATAGAGCAGACGAGGAGATAGAGCAGAAGTATTTGTTGCGCTGCAGCACGAGCTTCACTTTGCCATAGTTCTGTGTTGACTCGCGAATGAATGTGATGATGTCCGCTGAGAGCTTTGTCTTGCTGTATGGGGCTTGCTTCCCTCTGGTGTAGGGCCAATACTCACATTGGGGTAAGGGGACTCAACAAAGTACTTGTTGCGCTGCAGCACCAGCTTCACTTTGCCGTAGTTCTGTGTTGACTCGCGGATGAAGGTGATGATGTCCGCTGAGAGCCTCGTCTTGGAGAGGCGGTCGAGCACTGATATGATTGTGTTGGTGTCTAGTCCCACTGACACTGCTGCGTAGAGGGAGTGGGGCGTGAGGTTGTATTCGTGCACGTTCTCTGGGCTGGGGGGGAGAGAGGGGGGGGAGGGAGGTAGGGTATGATGTTAGTCAGCAGCAGTGGCTGAGAGCTTGGTCTTGGAGAGGCGGTGGAGCACTGAGATGATTGTGGAGGTGTCTAGACCCACAGAGACTGCTGCATAGAGGGAGTGCGGCGTGAGGTTGTACTCGTGCACGTTCTCTGGGCTGGGAGGAAGCGGGAGGGAAGAGCGGGGGGGGAGGGGGGAGGGGAGGGAAGGTCACGGGATGATGCATGGAGCTGCAGCTGAGACGTTGATGTTGAGAGACGGTCGAGCACTGATATGATTTTGTTGGTGTCCAGACCCACTGACACGGCGGCATACAGGGAGTGGGGCGTGAGGTTGTACTCATGCACGTTCTCTGGGCTGGAAGACGGCATGGGAGGGCGGGAGAACAGATGCAGGCGGCGCAGGAGCGGAGGGAGGGTGGGGGAATGGAGGGGAGGGAGGGGGAAGGCAAGGGAGGGAATGACGGAATGGCAATGGTGTCGGCTGAGAGCTTCGTCTTGGAGAGGCGGTGGAGCACTGAGATGATATGATGGTGTCCAGACCAGACCCACGGAGACGGCGGCTTGAGGGAATGAGGGGTTAGGTTGTACTCATGCACGTTCTCTGGGCTGGTGGGGGGGGGGAGGTGAGAGGGGGAGGGCAGTGCACAGGATGATGAATGCGAGCTGCAGCTGAGATCTTGGATTTGGATAGGCGGTGGAGCACTGATATGGTGGTGGAGGTGTCTAGACCCACAGAGACCGCTGCGTAAAGGGAGTGAGGGGTAAGGTTGTACTCATGCACGTTCTCTGGGCTGGTGGGGGAAAAAGGGGGCAAGGGAGGGAAGGAAGGAGACATGATGCGAGTGAGCTGCAGCTGGGAGTTTGGTGTTGGGGAGGCGGTGGAGAACTGAGATGATGGGAGGCGGTGTCAGGACCCACTGACACTGCTCCTTAGATGGAGTGGGGTGTGAGAATGAGAATGTACTTGTGCACGTTCTCTGGCCTCGCGGGACGGGGAGGGGGTAGTAGCAGGGGCGAGGTGAGGGGACGAGTGGAACGGAGGGGAAGGAAGGACGCATGTTCTCTCTGAGCTGCAAGAAGCGGGTAGGAGGGCACACAGCAGACGGGCGAAGAAGGGAGAGGGGGCGGAAGGTGATGCCAGCTGGTAGCTTTGTCACTGGAGGTGTGTTGAAGAGTGCCTGGGGGGGGGGAGTGTGGGTTTTGAGGGTAGTCTAGTTTTGAGGCGCCTCAAAACTAAACTGGTAGCTTTGTCACTGGAGGTGTGTTGAAGAGTGCCTGGGGGGGGTGTGGGTTTTGAGGGTTCTAAGGGAACAGCCAGAGTTCAAACTCACCGGCACACAGGCTCAGCAATGGCAATCAGAAAGTCGTAGGCGTGCTTGTAGAGGGGCGAGTAGGTCTCCAGAATGATGCGGCCATCAGGGCACACCCACATGGGTCGCTGCGAGTGGTCCTCCTTCAGCTGCATCTTGGAGAAATCACGCAGGGCGTGACCCTCCTCTGAGGTGCCCTCTCCCGCCGCTGGTGGTGTTGGTGGTGAAGGCGTGGGGCGAGGGAGCAGGGAAAAGGGGGAGAAAGGATGATGATAAGGTGAGTTGAATGTGCATGCACACTCATCTACATCCGCACACCCACATGGGTCGCTTCGCTGCGAGTGGTCCTCCTTCAATTGCATCTTGGAGAAGTCGCGCAGGGCGTGACACTCCTCTGAGGTTCCCTCCCCTGCCGCTGGTGGTGGCAGCAACGGTATTGAGGGGAAGAGAGAGGAGGTGGGAAGGGAGAAGGTGGGAGAGGGAAGAAGGGGGGGAGGGAAGGGGGGGAGGGGAGGGGGGAGAGGGGCGAGGAAGAGGGGGGCGGGATTCGGGCCATTCTGCTGCTTCTGCTTCTCAATCCATCCGATCCAATCAACTCTACCGTCGCACCCACCCTCTAGTGTCGCCGCCATCCTCTACTCTCTACTGTCGTAACGAGTGGTCCGCCTATCGCTAATACTTGCCGCTCTTCATAGCCATTTCGTCGCGAATTCTAGCCGCTGATTTGCACCGTACCGCCATGCCCGGCGTTCCTCACCGCTGATTCGCTGCGCGCGGAGCTCGTCATCCTCGTCAAGCACCAGAAAGTCGTCTTCGTCAACGTCAATGTCAGCACCGCCATCCATCGCTTCCGTCAAACTCTGGCCAGAGGTTCGCAGCTTCGGTATTACTATTCGCAACTTGCTCTGGCACGAAGATGGTATTCAGCGCCGAGCACGATGATGATACTAAAGCGCTAAGCGCTGCGTCGAGTGTGAAGAACGCTGATTGGCGAAATGCTGTCAGCCTGAAGCGAAATGGCTTGTGAGGCAAGCCATCTCTTTTAGAGTGTGCAATATCTCGTTATCGAGATCCGCGTTAGGAAAACCTCACAAAAGTCCTGTTATGAAGTGAAACTGTATCTTAACTCTGTAATATAAACTTTAACGGATGAGCTCTTAGCCGGTTACACTTGCTGCAATCACACCTGCTGCAATTGCCCTTGCCAGCTGAGGTGCCTGGGAGAGCTTCTTGGGGCGTGTTTACAAATCAGACCCCTTTGCGAATTACGGATATAACCAAGGTCTTCATTTCCACTGACGTTGCAATTCTGCTCCAGTCATCTGACCAGATGCGTGAAACGAATATCCCTTCTACACTTTCCGGTGCTACAAACACGACCTGCTTGCAACATCCTCGTGGTAGTGTTCCCATCATACCTCGATTGCATTGCACGAGGCCAAGGGGAATTCTATCTGGTCCAGAGACGTAACTGGTTATGGCGATCACATCACTGCTTCCTCATTCACCTCCTCGGTTTCGAAGTTGAGTGCCTCAGCCGTTTGAGGCCATGGGTCGTGTGTCGGGGCTCATCCTCGTTATAGCGTTCTCCGCGTCATTCTTCGCGGCCTTTAATTTCGTGACGATGCTTCTGGACAATTCACCAGCCGAGGTCTCTCACCGTCGATCCCTCCGTCACCCCTTTAGTGAAATTACGCCTAATAACGCAAAGAAGGTTTCCGTTTCTCGTCAGAACAGCGCCGGCAAACCTGACGGCCGCAGCTCCACGTCATCGTCAGAATTGCCAGTCGTCAGCCGGCCAGCCGACACGGCGAACGGCAAGCGGTCAAATCGGCGAAACGGGCCGCTGAGACCGTTCCACGCGGCGATGACGTGCGACAGTTCGGGTTACAGCAAGTGGCAGTCGCGAGTTATGTACTTTTACTACAAGAAATGGCAGCGCGAACCGGGCGGCGAGGAGATGGGCGGATTCACGCGCGTGCTGCACACGGGGAAGGAAGACGAGCTCATGGGGGAAATCCCGACCTTCGTCGTCAACCCGCTGCCGCCGCAACAACAAACGGTGCCACGGGGTAACGGGGATGGATGGATGGGTGGGGTGATGGGTGGATGAATTGTGGTTTTAGGGGCGTGATTGAGGTATAAAATTCGGTTGAATGGATGCTGTGCAGCCGTGCTGCCAGGTGGTGAATGACTGATGTGATGTGATGGGATGGGATGGGATGGGATGGGATGGGATGGGATGGGATGGGATGGGATGGGATGGGATGGGATGGGATGGGATGGGATGGGATGGGATGGAATGGGATGGGATGGGATGGGATGGGATGGGATGGGATGGGATGGGATGAAAGGATGCGTGCGTCGCCACATGAAGGCAAATTGTGTGACGTTTCAGCATATTCTGAATCCGTTAATTTATGTGTAATTCCGGTCTGGATCCCCAAAGTTTCTCTCTCTCATCCGTTGCCCACGTCCCATGGCAGGACTATGTGGTTCTGAATCGGCCATACGCGTTCGTGCAGTGGATTCAACAAGCCACCTTCCCTGAAGAGTAAGTTCCGCATGCCATGCCATGCCATGCCACCACCTGTCACCACATGCCACCACATCCCACCACATCCCACCACATACCACCACATGTCACCACATGCTATGCCGTGTCGTCACATGTCACTATGTCATGGCATGCCATCACAAGCTATCACATACCATGTGACATGCGATCAAAGCCACGTGTGTCTACAGCAGAGGCAAACCATCTGATTCTGCGTAACAAGGCTCAAACGCGATCCCTTCCTCTCCAAACCATCCTCTCCCCTTCCTCCACTCACCACTCTCTCCAATCTTCTCTTCGTTCTTTAACAGCTGCGTATTGAGGGAACGGATGGCCGAGAGAAACCATTTGACCCTGTGCTTGCAATGCCCGATCCTGATGTGTGGCTCCGTCGTGTGAACCATGATGGAATCACTTTTGAGAATTCTCAAAAGTGATTCTAACATACCCGATGTGTGGCTCCATCGTGTCAACCCCCTCTTTCTCCCTTTCATTCCTGCCCCCCCACGCCCCCCCCCCTTCTTACAGCTATACACGGATGGCGGAGCCAGACCATCTCATCCTGCATCCCATCCCCAACCTCTCAGTCGGTGACATGCCCTCCGAATTTCTCGTTCCTCTTTCCCCGCCTCACCACGCTTCACCCCCCTCCCCCTTCCCAGGTACACATGGATGGCGGAGCCAGACCGTCTCATTCTGCTCCCCGTCCCCAACCTCTCCATTCCAAGTTCCTCCTCTTCTCTTGTTCCCCCCCCCCCCCTCTTTCCTTCCCCCTCTTCCCCCCCCCACCTTTTCCACCCCCCCCTTTCCCCCCGTCACAGCTATGTGTGGATGGCGGAACCAGACCATCTCATCCTGCGCCCCATCCCCAACCTCTCAGTGGGTGACATGCCATCCGCCTTCCCCTTCCATTACATCGAGCCCGCCAAGAATAAAGGTGAGTGTGACACTAGGGAGGGGACACTGGGAGAGGCAGGAAGCAGTGGGTGGATGTAGATTGCTCTTTGTGGGTGACATGCCCTCCCTCTGCCTTCCCCTTCCATTACATCGAGCCCGCCAAGAATAAAGGTGGGCGTGAGGGAACAGTAGGGGTTTGGAAGCAGCCAGCAGCTTCTTTCCTGCTTGTCACATCTCATGCCATCCGCCTTCCCTTTCACTACATTGATCCTGCTTAGAATAAAGGTGGGCGTGAGGGGGTAGTGTGGGTTGGGGCGCAATGGGGCGACGGGGCTCGCGAGCAGAACTAGCGCTGGCGGAAGAGGCGCATCCAGGGCAGGCGGAGCTGACGAAGCAGGTTTCCGCGCGCCTGCTGGTGCGGCGAAAGGCATTCTGCAGGCAGCGGGGAGGGGGGGATTAGGAGGCGGAAGGAGTTCAGCAACAGGGGAGGCGAGACGGGGGATAGAGGGAGGGATACAGTGGATGGTAGGGGAGGTGGTGGTGGAGGTCTACCATCCACTCTATCCACTCCTCTATCCCCCTATCTCTCCTCAACTGTTGCTGAACTCCTTCCGTCTCCTAATCTCCCTCTTCCCGCTGCCTGCGGAATGCCTTTCGCCGCACCAGCAGGCGCGCAGAAACCTGCTCTGCCCGCTCCGCCTGGCCCCGGGTGCGCCTCCTCCGACACCGCTGGTTCCGCTCGCGAGCCCCATGGTTGATCCGCCGCCTCTGTTGGCTCTCGCGCGGGATTTTGCGAAGAATTGCGCGGCGGGGAGCTGAGGACTGAGCGGGACCTTAACGAGAACGGAAAAAAGGGAGAGAGAGTGAGGAGAAGGGAAAAGTAACAAGTGTGGGTCATATTGAGATCTGAGTGTAAAATCTGATCAGAGATTTAAGCACGCCTGAGTGCGGTTCATGTGAAGCGGGACATGAACTGATTCTAAAGTACAGCTCAAAAGTTGTTCGAGGTGAGATGGAGTGAGAAAGATGGAAAAACACGGGAATGTGACCATCTTGCCTCCCAAAGAAGGGCCCCACCAACAATATTGACGCGCTGGGCACGTTGACTTTTGAGTCTACTCAAAAAGATGGAAAAACAATTAAATGTGACCCTCTTGCCTCCCGGAGAAGGGCCCCATTAACAAGATCGACGCTCTGGGGCACCCACGCACGTTTGCTTGGCCTCACGTGTTGCCTATCCTATCCCACCCCCACACCCACTGCCGCCACCACTACCAGAGGCACTGCACTGCTGGTTCCCTCCAGAGATGGGCCCCATTAACAAAATTGACGCTCTAGTGCACACGCACACGCGTTTGTCCTCATGTGTTTTCTCCCATCCTGTCCCACCCCCTTACCTACTGCCCACTACCACCACCAGAGGCACTTTACCGCTGGTTCCCCCCGGAAAAAGGCCCCATTAACAAGATCGACCCCATCGGCAACTCCCCTGTTATCATCCACAAGGTAAGGGCCTGTTGCTTGCAGGCTGTTTGTTTAGAATCCTAAAAAACACCCTACACTATCAGCAGCACTGCACCGGTGGTTCCCTCCAGAGAAAGGCCCCATCAACAAGATTGACCCCATCGGCAACTCCCCTGTTATCATCCACAAGGTGCCTTGCTTCTTGCCGCATGCATAGTCCTGTCCCGCCTTGCTTCTTTCGCTCATTGCCCCACCTCTCCTGCCTCCTCTCTGCACGTATGCACGAACCCATCCCCCTCCTCCGCCTGTCCTCTCTCCCTCTCACAGCACTTTCTGCGCCGCCTGGCCCCTGTGTGGCACAACGTGACTTCAGATATGAGAGCGGATCCAGCGTCTGACAAGGCTGCACGTATGGAGTTCTGCCCCTCCGTTCTTCCCTCAAAATTTACAGAGTCTGCTGCATTGCCTGGCCCCTCTGTTGCACAACGTGGCTCTCGAGATGAAGGCGGATGCTTTGGATTTCGTAGTGGACTCAATACAAGAAGGCTGATGGTGCAGGGACTGACAAGGCTCACAAGGCTGACAAGGCTGATAAGGCTGACAAGGCTGACAAGGCTGACAAGGCTGACAAGGCTGATAAGGCTGACAAGGCTGACAAGGCTGACAAGGCTGACAAGGCTGATAAGGCTGATAAGGCTGACAAGGCTGATAAGGCTGACAAGGCTGACAAGGCTGACAAGGCTGACAAGGCTGACAAGGCTGACAAGGCTGACAAGGCTGACAAGGCTGACAAGGCTGACAAGGCTGACAAGGCTGACAAGGCTGACAAGGCTGACAAGGCTGACAAGGCTGACAAGGCTGACAAGGCTGACAAGGCTGACAAGGCTGACAAGGCTGACAAGGCTGACAAGGCTGACAAGGCTGACAAGGCTGACAAGGCTGACAAGGCTGACAAGGCTGACAAGGCTGACAAGGCTGACAAGGCTGACAAGGCTGACAAGGCTGACAAGGCTGACAAGGCTGACAAGGCTGACAAGGCTGACAAGGCTGACAAGGCTGACAAGGCTGACAAGGCTGACAAGGCTGACAAGGCTGACAAGGCTGACAAGGCTGCACATATGCCCCTCTTCCCCACTGTCTTCCTCTTCCCCCCTCCTTTTTTTCTCCCACAGCACCAGCTGCGGCGCATGGCTCCGCTGTGGCACAACGTGACTCTCGAGATGAAGGCGGATCCAGTGGCTGACAAGGCGTTTGGATGGGTGCTGGAAATGTGTGTGAGTGGTGTGGGTGGTGTGATAGTGGTGTGAGTGAGTGCATGCAGTAATTGCATGTGAGTTCAGCAGTTGTGTGTGCGAGTGCATGTGGTAGCAGCAGGTGTGAGGTAACCAACACACCCTATAACCATCTCTCTTCTGTTCTTTCTCACCTCATTCCTTTGCCAAAAAAAAAAAAAAAAAAAAAAAAACCTAGAAGGGCTGTTACCCTTTGCTTCTTGCGCTTCCTTTCTTCCCCTCTCCCCTTGTCCCCATCGTCCACACTCCCCTTCTTCTTCCCCTTCTCCCCCACTTCTTCCAGGTACGGATATGCCACGTCAGCTGCGCTGTTGGGGATACAACACACTCTACACCGAATGTGGATGATCCAGGTGCTTATTGGCTTGCTTCAGGTGGTTTCACAGATGGTTCAGGTGTTGTTTTCGTCGTTCAGGTGGTTCAGGGCGGAGTTGTTTGGCTAAGTGCATGATTATGGCACCGGGGCCAGTGCTAGCCATTTCTCGTTATAACAAGTCGAACCAAGATGACACTTAAGACTGTTCTCACCATTACTGCTTTCTTCTTTTGAGGTGATACTTTTTCTTGCTTTCCTCCCAGCTTCTCTTATTGCCTGCCTGACTTGGCTTTCCGCTGCCTCCTCTTAACCTTTCTTATCTTACCAGTTTTTTTCACTCCTTCCTTGCATGCTGTGTGCTGCATGGTGCATCGTGCATCGTGCGTGATGTGTGGTGCATGGTGGGTGGTGCATGGTTGGTGGGTGATGCATGGTGGGTGGTGCATGGTGGGTGGTGCATGGTGGGTGATGCATGGTGGGTGGTGCATGGTTGGTGGTGCATGGTGGGTGGTGCATGGTGGGTGGTGCATGGCGCATGCATGGTGCGTGGTGCATGCACGGTGCGTGGTGCATGGTGCGTGGTGCATGCATGGTGCGTGCTGCATGCATGGTGCATGGCACATGGTGCATATTGCACCCTGCATGGTGCATGGGGCATGGGGCATGATGGGCATGATGGGCATGGTGGGCATGATGGGCATGATGGGCATGGTGGGCATGGTGGGCATGATGGGCATGGTGGGCATGGTGGGCATGGTGGGCATGATGGACATGGTGGGCATGGTGGGCATGATGGGCATGATAAGCATGGTGGGCATGGTGGGCAGGCATGATGGGCATGGTGGGCATGGTGGGCATGGTGGGCATGATGGGCATGATGGGCATGATGGGCATGATGGGCATGATGGGCATGGTGGGCATGATGGGCATGATGGGCATGATGGGCATGGTGGGCATGATGGGCATGGTGGGCATGATGGGCATGGTGGGCATGATGGGCATGGTGGGCATGATGGGCATGGTGGGCATGATGGGCATGGTGGGCATGATGGGCATGGTGGGCATGCCATATACTGAATGCTGCAGCCGCCATGGGATACTGAGCCCGGGGACTCCTACCTCATCCACTACACATATGGCTGTGACTTCGCCCTCAATGTATGTAAATTGTAATGTAACCACAGTTTACGCCTCATTGATGATTTTGCCTTAGGACGAGGGGCCTCATATGTCCAACGGTTATCCATTCAAACCCAAATTCCAGTAATGCAGCAACTGCATCTGGGCAAATTCAATCACTGCATCATTGTCGAATTTATGGAAAAAACGGAAGCACTGCATCAATGACAATGTAATGAATTGACCTTGATTTCAACATCGTTTTTGAAATTCTTTGGTGAATTTGCACAGTAAGGGTCAGTTTTCTGCGTGGATTTTAGATATTGAACAGCCCATTTGGTGCCTTCTCCACCTGTCCTCTTTCCTCCCTTCTTTGCCTCCTCTCCTTGTTCCTCACTTTTCCAGGGGTGGTGGGCCCATGGCAATTTGATGAGATATGAAAACCAAAAAGAAAAAGAAAACAAAGAAACTCACGCACACAACAGCACCTCTTTTAGACATCTCAACTTTCTCCTTCTTTCTTATCTTGCATCATTCCTTTTGCCTTCCATCACAGGGCACAATGACTCCAGGGGTGGTGGGCCCATGGCATTTTGACAAGAGAGATTTCAACACAGCACCGCCTCGCAACCTCTCCCTCCCACCCAAAGGGGCTGCTCCCTCCGTTGTAAGCACTTCACCACCTTGCTCCGCTTCCCTCCCACCCCATGGGGTTGCTCCCTCCGTTGTAAGCACAGCCCTTTCTGTCACTTGTTGGTGTTTTGTCTCAGATTGCAGCATCTGGTAGTACAGACTTATCTGCACCCATCACACTTTTCTGATGTATATGGTTGGAAAATAAATTGTGTGACCAGTGTCAGTCAGCATCTTGCAATTCCATGTTGGTTCAGAGAGGGGCTTTGACAGCACACGTCAGCATCTACCAACCTGTCCTTTCCAACCCACCCCAAGGCACCACTCCTCTCTTGCACAAGCCTCTGTACAAGCCATTCTGCCAACATCCATGCGCCACACCATCATTGATGTTCATTTGCTTCTGGAAATATCATTGATGTTTTTTTATGAATTTATTAAGTCTATCCCTCTTTCTTCTTTTGGGTTTTTCTCTTGTAATTTCAGTTTAAGCTGGTATCCATGATAAACGATGCAACATGGAGCATTCCAAATTGGAAAGCTGGAGCTCCCTAGGTGCTTCTGTTCTTGGATGACCCCAGAAATGGTGGCAGTGAATTGAATAGATTCAGAAATACACATGTTTTGTTCCTCTATTGTTGGCAGATATTGTGAGTTACCGGTACCAGTACTATACAAGATATGAACATCACAGTTCAACATAACATAGCATATACAGGAGTGACATTCCAGATTCTCTGGTTTCAGCCACACTAGTACAATATCTGTGCTGTCCAGTTACCTGTTTCAAGCCACACCTGCTACAGTAACAGAGAAGTATCCTAGTATTGTCTCAGTGCACCACTGATTCTGCGCAGAGTGACCCGGCTGCTAGAGCCAGTGATTCTCCGCCTGGCTCCAAACCTACCGATGCCGACTGAAATGCCTGATGCTGCCAATGCCTCCCTCTCCTCCTCCTCTTTCTCATCCATGTACAGCTGATTCATGTAGCACATCGTTCCACTCCCAGAGATCTTGGACCTTACTCTGCTGCTGCCATCCTCCTCCCCGTCTTCCTCTACCTCCCCCTCATCATCATACCCATACAAAAGGTTTGAGACAGTCTGTCCTTGCTCCGCCTTCCCAAACCCCTTCACCTCCGTGCTCCAGTCCTTCCCACTGCAGAAATCGCCCTTACCGATCCCACTCTTCACTATATTTTTCTCAGCTGCCAAGAGATCAGTGAAATGGTGAGCAGAGGATAGAGAGCATCCTTTCCCAATGCGGGAAACGCCTCGGCCAATCCCCCTCTTCACACCAGCTACCTCCGCCGTAGCCAGTGGGAGTGCTGCAGAGGCTGTGAGCGGGGGAGGAGGAGGAGGAGGAGTCCGAGGAGAGGTGGATGAGACACGCACTGCGGCTGCTGCAGCTGCTCTCACTGCGACTCCACCCGCTGCTCGCCTCTGCTCCCACCTTCTCACCCTGCCCTGATACAGCTTCCACACCCAACCAGGCCGCAACCTTGGCTGACGAAGCAACAGCCTTAACCGTGGGTAAGGCAACAGAGTCTTCTTGAGCAAGCAGCTCCAGGAACGAATACACTTTCTTTTTCAATTCCGCCGGTTTCTTTGCCTCCTCAGCCTGGTTCGAAAAGGCAACAGTCACAGTTGTGGCGTCCGCCTTGCCAGCCTCTGTGGGATGGTTGACGGTTTCTGCCTCAGCATCTGTTGACGCAGCTTCTTCCATAAGCGCGACAACAGGGAGAGCGGAAACCGACTGCACCTCCACTGCTGCTTGCTCGCACGGCCTGATCCATCTGGAGACGGCCTGCACGAGAAAAACAGAGATAGGTTAGTTGCTGCTTACGAGAAGGGTCATGACACGATGATGATACATATGAACAAAACATTGCTGGTAAATATCGAGGGTTTGCGAGAACTGAAGGGAATTGTTGGGAGGAACGGGTTCTTACCAGGCGTGGAGCTGAAATCATGCTGCAGACGAAGCGAGTGAGGGAGTCATTTTGCTCCCAGCAGCTCGAGAACAGAGCTTCGACGTCCACGCAGGCACTCTCAGCACCCATGCTGGCCATTTTCGTTGACGGACGGAGTAGGGAGGAAGGCTACGGCTTCCACGACAGAGCTGGTACGCGAGATTATGAGCACTCAAGCAGGCTTAGATAGCTGGTGGTAACGAGGGAGCAAGGTAGGAGGGCTTGCAAAGTAGCTTCAATAGAGACTGATGAATGAAATGAAAATCCTGAAGGTCTACTTATACTTTTCCGTCTGGTGGGACAGCGACTCTGATGAGCGTCGAGTAAGAAACGAGTGAGAGCGAACGAGCGACGGAATGCGACGAGATGCACGGGAGGGGTGGGAGGGTGGCAGGGGGAGCGAGGCAAGCAGGGGAACCCGCCGATGGTCGCTGTTGGAATTCGCAAAGTCTGTGGGGTGGGCTTGCGGGGGCTTGCGACGATCGGAGCCCATGGCGACAACGTCGAGTAACCTTGGGGGTATCGGGGTGTCGCGCGAGTGTCCGTTTTACTAGCGGCGATTCAACGTGCGCCACCTGTGCCTTATGTGCCAGCGAGGCGGGGTCGTTTGGAAGCGCGTGGTGCTCGAGTTTCCGCCGCAATCGGGAGTACCGAGCGCACGAGAATATCTGGAAGGCGGGAAACAGGTTAGGTTCGTAAGCGGACGAAGTCTCGGCAAACGCGGTACGGTCCCCCGAACCTAGCGCCCAGGCCTAGAGAACTGCGGGATGATGTACACGTGGACTGAGGCAATGACCAAGCTTCAACAAGAGGTAACGCAAAGAGGTCTGGCAGAGGAAGTTCAATTCGGCAGGGGAGGACAAAATCAAAAGCAGAGTATGCGCTACAAAGCTCTCCGTATTTACACGGAAATCCGTTTGCTTAGAACCGATAGCGTGTACTAAATGGAACAAACTCAAGAGGTATGAATGCAGAATGCAGGTGAAGTGCAAGATTTCTCCTCTTGATCAAAGCCTAACAACAGAAATAGCTCCTGAACAGAAGTGGCAATTTCCTTGCTATGAGGTAATATAATGACCCTATTGAATAGCAAGGAGCATTCATTATGAGTACAGATGAATTGTTCAGAAAGTCTTCTGTCATTTCAGTGCGGCACTGCCACTGCTGCCTATTGTTTAAAGAAAAACATGGTACTTCATTTACTGGCTCATTCCAGATGAGTTCATTTGACCAATACTGCTGAACGAGTGATTGGGTTAAGTGTTTTAAGAGACTCTATATAAATTATTTACGAGACCAGGTTCTAGAGGCATGCCATTTAGTGGCAGTCTATTTACTCTGGCTCAGCCACAGCTGCTAGTAATGGAACCCCCAAATTCTAACCAGCTAATATTGGTTATTGTCTCAGGGGTATTTACCCGGCTAATGGACCCCCCTAATACCCGGCTAATCTCCAAATTCTAACCAGCTAATATTGTCTCAGTGCACCACTGATTCTCCTAAGAGCGACCCGGCTACTAGAGCCAGTGATTCTCCGCCTGGCTCCAAACCTGCCGATGCCGACGGAGATGCCTGATGTGGCTAATGCCTCCCGCTCCTTCTCCTCTTCCTCGTCCATGTACAGCTGATTCATGTAGCACATTGTTCCGGTCACATTGTTGGACCCTTGTCTGATGCTGCCATCCTCCTCCTCCTCTTCCTCCTCATCGGCATACCCATACAAAAGATTTGAGACAGTCTGTCCTTGCTCCGCCTTCCCAAACCCCTTCACCTCCATGCTCTGGTCCTTCCCACTGCAAAAAACACCCTTACCGATCCCACTCTTTACTGATTTTTCCTCAGCTGCCAAAAGCTCAGTGAAATGGTAAGCAGCGGACAGAGAGCATCCCTTCCCAACGCTGGAACCGCCTCGGCCAATCCTCCTCTTTACACCAGCTACCTCCGCCGTCAAGCCAGTGGGGCTGCTGCAGAGGCTGTGAGCGGAGGAGGAGGAGGAGTCCGAGGAGAGGTGGATGAGACACGCACTGCGGCTGCTGCAGCTGCTCTCACTGCGACTCAAGCTGCACCACCCGCTGCTCGCCTCTGCTCCCACCTTCCCACCCTGCTGTGCCTCTGCTCCCACCTTCTCATCCTGCTCTGATCCGACTTCCGCACCCAACCAGGCCGCAACCTTGGCTGAGGAGACAGCAATCTTAGCAACTGAGTCAGCTGAGGAGGTACGTGAGGCAACTGACTCTTCTTGAGCAATCAGCTCCAGAAACGAAAAGGCTTTCTTCTTCAGTTGCTCCGGTTTCACTGCTTCCACTACTTCCTCTGCTTCCTCAGTTTCATCATCCAGAGTCGAAACGGCAGCAGTCACAGTTGAAGCATCCACAGTCACAGTCACAGCCACAGCCACGGATTCAAGTTCTGCATCTGCGGACGCGGTTTCTTCCAGAAGAGCGACAACAGCGAGAGCTGGAACTGACTGCACCTCCACTGCTGCTTGCCCGCACGGCCGGATCCAGCTGGAGACGGCCTGCACGAGAAAAACGAGATAGGTTAGTTGCTGTTTCCGAAGAAAGTTCATGACATAACCAGAAATTAACCGATGATACAATTGAACAAATCACTGCTGGTAAAAGAAGACGAGGGCTTGCAAGATCTGAAGCGAACGGCTAGAATAAAGTGGTTCATACCAGGCGTGGAGCAGCGACGATGCTGCAGATGAAGCGAGTGAGGGAGTCGTTTTGCTCCCAGCAGCTCGCGAACAGAGCTTCGACGTCCACGCAGGCACTCTCAGCACCGATGCAGGCCATGTTGCTGACGGACGAAGAGTTGGAGACGAGTTTGCAGATTAGATCCTGAGCACTTTCTCAGTGAGAAGACTTGTACAGCTGGTAGCGAAGGGAGCACGAGCCGATAGGAACTCGAGGACAAGGTAGGAAGACTAGCAAGCAGCTTTAGTCGAGACTGATGAATGAATGAGATACACCAGCGACCAATTTATAAACTTTCTGTCTGGTGGACGTAGCGAGCGTCGGGTGAGAAGCGGGTGAAAGCGAGCGAGCGAGGGAATTCGACGAGAGGGGTGGGAGGGTGACAGGGGGAGCCAGGCAAGCAGGGGGGACCCGCCGATGGTCGCTGCTTCGCAACGCCAGTGGGGTGGGCTTGCGAGGGCTTGCGTTGACTGGAGCCCATGG